CAACACAGAAAAAAGATTTTTATTATTAATTATCGATATATATGTTAATAAGTAATATGTGTGTACTGTGTTTCAATAATTACAGTCTTATGGAAAGTTCCCAAAAGAACATCAAACAAACCTATCGGCACTTGTAACATCTGCATAGGGCAATAAAACCCTTTTGGAGAAACTCTTGGGTTTCTCATACTTTGCTAGTTTTAAAAGGGAGGTTTGTTACATTGGAGTTAACTATAAAAACTATGCCCACAATTAACCTGCCCCAACAATTGTTAGATTTCTCACCCTTTGGGAGTAGATTTAGTCGCAGCAACATGAATTCCACAACGGCAATTACTCCAAACATGATTGATTTTTCGTCTCTTCTAAGACACACTTATGTTTTAAGATTTCTCATTCTTTGGAAAAAGTAGAATATTATTTTGTATTCGGTACGTCTTCTTACATATAAAACGACACTTTTGTTATTCTAAATTAGTCCTAGAAAGGGTCCTAATCCTAGTTAGCCCGAAACTCATGTGAACCCTAAGAAGAGTCCTAGTTAGTCTAAGTAATAGTTCTAGTCTATACTACTCTTGAATAGCAACCTATGCTTGTAGCAACTGGAAGCTAGATTAAGAATCTTCATCACCTAAGTGTTAAATAAATACGATTAAGTATACTGACTTTAATCTAGACTCTTCTATAAAACCCACCAGAACTCCACAACGACAACTACTTTGCTAGTTTTTACAAATCATTTATGCAACGTTCTTAAGAATATTTATTTAATCAAGTTATCGATTTTTTTTTAATAAATTATTATTGGTATAATTAAAGACAAATAAATTAATAAGAAATTACAATCAATCAAAAATTGTAGTCTTATTTAGAAAACTATGTAATTTATGTATGTTCTAAATTATAAAAAAAAAATCCAATCTAACATGAAATTATTTTTATGAAACGTTTACAAATTATTTTGCATCAATACTAAGTGTTAAATAAATACGATTAAGTACACTGACTTTAATCTAAACTCTTCTATAAAACCCACCAGAACTCCACAACGACAACTACTTTGCTAGTTTTTACAAATCATTTATGCAACGTTCTTAAGAATATTTATTTAATCAAGTTATCGATTTTTTTTTATAAAATTATTATTGGTATAATTAAAGACAAATAAATTAATAAGAAATTACAATCAATCAAAAATTGTAGTCTTATTTAGAAAACTATGTAATTTATGTATGTTCTAAATTATAAAAAAAAAATCCAATCTAAAACGGATGAAATTATTTTTATGAAACGTTTAGAAATTATTTTGCATCAATACTAAGTGTTAAATAAATACGATTAAGTACACTGACTTTAATCTAAACTCTTCTATAAAACCCACCAGGAGTCCACAACGACAACTACTTTGGTACTTTTTACAAATTATTTATGCAACGTTCTTAAAAGGGATAAGTTGTGCAGTTAATTATAAAAACTATGCCATCCACAATTCACCTCCCTAAACAATTGTAAGATTTTTCACCCTTTAGACCATGGAAAATTACACTTAGAATATTATTTTGTTTTCAGTATATCTTCTTACGTATAAAACGACACTTTTGTTATTTTAATTTAGTCTTAGTTAGGTGGCCGAACTGAGAAAATAGTCTTAATTGGAGGGTTGAAGTGTAAACATGGTCTTTCTTGGAGAGTCTAGTGAAGAACCCTTGCATCGTAGTTATTAACTTAAGAAGACAATGTAACTTTCAGTTAATAATACATGAGATCAAAAACTCTGATGTGTATAATAAAAACTAATTAAGAATATTGCATTTAATATTCGTAAATCCATCTATGACATAACTACGAGATAATCCATTATTAATCCCGGGACACGACAATAAAACTAAAATATATAGAGTGAATTTTGATTTCAATAACTTGAAATTATTGATTCATGATTTAGAATTATGTGAAATTATTAAGCAAAAAAAAATAATCCAAATTGAATACTTAAATTGAACATTATTTTTCTTTAAGTAAGGAAATTTACCATGGTTACACTTTATTACAACTATCGATGTTACTACGCTCTAATGTGTGATTATACTCACTATTATTTATTATCTAACGTACATTATGTTCAGTATGAACTACTTTATCAGACAATTATAATTTTAATTTAAAAGTCTATTAATAACAATACCATTTTTTTTTTGTTGCATTTGATTGATATTTACACAATATTTCACTGACATTTAACATAGTCATAAAGCAATTTACTATTAACTTTAATAATTCTTGTAATTACTTCAATTCTCGTCAGTCGCCATCATTTTTTTTCTAAAAAGATTATTTACAATGAATATCATATTATATTGATCGGTAACATAAACTGTTGCATTTTAATAATTTAAGCTATATTTTATTACAAATTGACTAGTCATCATTGCATCATCATTTATTTATAAAATTTAAATAATATATAATATAGGGTGTGATACAAAAAAATGCAGACTGTTATGGGCTTTAGCCTCTTTCAGCCTCTTAATAACAGAAAGTTTTACAAAAAAAAAAAAAAAAACATCAACAATAATAATAAAACACAAATAAATATTAGTAACAATCACTTCACTGCACAAAAAAAAAAAAATCAACAATAATAATAAGAAAATAAACAGAGATAGAACACAAAAAAACGAATGTTTTACATCACTGAGGGGGAGTGTTTTTTAAAGTCTTGGAGAAGTTGCATTAATGTGGGGTCGTTGGAGTGAATTGACTAGTAAAAGTTTTTTTATAGTTTTGTAAATGGAATGTATGCAAATTCGAGTTTATCAAAGATATTTGAAAGGTGCAAAAAGATGCGATATGCAAATTTCTACACTTGTTATGTAATTAAAGAACTCGTACTCATTATTTATTCGAATTAATTGCGTTTAATGTAAGCGCGTGTCTTGCTTTCTTTTTTTTTTTGTTATAGAAATATCGAAATTGTAGTGTTTAATTTTGTTTACTATGTCAAGAGTAGAATGTGATTATTAAAATTAGAGAAATGGAGACAGCAAATAATAGATGTTAAATTGTATGAATCGGAACTGCACGTAATGTTAATGCGTTTTCACTTTAATTAAGTACTGTAACGTATGTGTAAATTGCGTTTCGTACGTTGCGGTGACCGAACAAAATAGAAGTGACGCTTCGCCCGTTTGTTTTGCGCCCGTGTAACTTGCACACCCAGCGAATCTACCTGACCGTGTTGCCTGGCAACCGATGTTCAAAACATGGGGGTATCGTAAAGCAAAGCCTCCCCTTTCGTTCGGGCGAGAGGTTCAAAGTTTGGGTAGTAGTTCATTGTTTATGTAGGCCTTATCGGTTTCGCATAATCGGATAACGATGCAACCGAACTATTTGAACTACACAATACTTGCGAACACCTCATCTCCTATCGCGTTTGTTCTATACGATCAAGCAATAATAGTGGTACATGAATCTGTAATGTTACCCTGCGAATCCACCACATTTTTATTACAAACAAATTGATTAAAATCTATTTGAATTGATAATCAATTCATAAATTACAACACAAATAAATTCTCTCTTAACAATAAATATAAAAATGTACTTAAATCTCAACGGATTTGTTAGAAATGTATAAAATTGAATCTTTAAAACTTAGTTCAACTTTGAAAAGAACATTTGCATTTGATCCTGAAATGCTGCAATCATTAGCATTTTCTTTATTCATTCGAGTTTTAATTGAGTCAAATCTTAATATTTGCTTTGATTTTTTTTATTTTATTTTTGCAAACTTCTTCGTTGGAAATCACGAAGTGTTTACTGAATAAATAATTGGATTGGGATCCGGTGAGCGGTGTTTACCGGATCGATGGAGGTGTCGAAATTAAACAAATCCCTCACGTTTATTAGTTCAAATTGAAACGTTTATTTAGAAAATCCCCATGCTGTTGGAAAATGTCTGTCTTGAGGAAATATCTAACAGTATGTCAACTTTGGCAAATTCCGTGTTTAAGAAATATCATATTTTTTCAGTGGAATGTGTTTTCAACAATTTTTCACTGCATCATTAATCTTGCAAAAGAAGCTTAAGTTTCGTGAGTGTCGTCGTTGTGTTTCCTCATAAAACGAAAAATACAAGTATTGAATTTTGTTATTATATTTTACTACGCTTTTATACTCATTATTATTTATTATCTAGCGTACATTATGTTGCAGTATGAACTACTTTATCAGACAATTATAATTTTAATTTAAAAATCTATTAATAGCAATACAATTTTTTTTTGTTGTTGCATTTGATTGATATTTACACAATATTTCACTGACATTTAACATAGTCATAAATTCAATTTAATATTAGAATTTAGTAAAAAAAACTTGGCATTTCCATCGTTATGAGATTAATAAATAAAAAGATTGTCTATTGGTAAAACATGTCAAAATAAAATAATATTTATTGTTAATAATTTACAGATAGATTTTGTATCGCATTTCCAGGTCCCAATTAGCGAAATATCATAGAAATATCAATATTCAAATTGGAAAAAATGTAAATAAATTATGAATCCGCTGACGGACAACAATTCTCAACATTTCCATATCAGTTTTGAAAGTATTTGCGTTGGGAATATTTCGAATATTTACTTTTATATTTGTTTCTATTAACAATTTCATTTTACAAAATTCTAAAATATGTTATGCTTTATAACATAGTTTTTTTTATTGATTGTTAATATTGCTTTGTTGTTTGTTAATTATTATAGTCGAAATTTTTGGTTTATAAAATTTGTAAGTTTTCTTGATTATTTAAATATTTTTTAATTTAAAATATGTTATGCTTTTTAACATAGTTTTTTTATTGATTGTTAATTTTGCTTTATTGTCTGTTAATTATTATAATCGAAATTTTTGGTTTATAAAATTTGTAAGTTTTCTTGATTATTTAAATATTGTTTAATTTAAAATTGAGTTTAGTCAACACTTTATAAATATTATAAACAGATTGTAAAATTATTAAAGTTATTAAATTTAAGAATATTCTTGGTGAAAAAAAAAAACTTATAAATAAAGCGAAAGTAGTTATTTTTTTAATTATTCAAATGTCATTTAATTTAATAAAAAAATAATAATAATAAAGATTTATTGTAGTTTTTTTTTTGTCCAGGATCAAAATCAGAAGAATAAAATTTGTATAATTGCATAGAAATGAAAGGGAAGTGATTTCTTATATAGATTTTAGAAGATTATGTGAATTCTATGAAATAGGAAGTAAAAGTAAATGACATTGATTTTATAATAAAATAATTTAGAGATTAAAATCAATTAAAGGTGAAATTTACTCAATAAAAGGAAATATTAAAGAATTGTAATTGTATAAGTAGATAAAAGTTACCTAGCATTTTGATGACTCTCTTTTGAGCTGTTGCGGCTCTCGAGGTTCTGGAAATGCCGTCGCTGTTGCTGCTGAGCGAAGAGCGTTTTGCGGTTGCGATCATCCGCGATTTGCTGAGTTTGATGCCGATTAGGATGTAGAGGAAGGTGATGATGGTCATCGGGAGGACGAAGAAGATGAGCGTGGAGATGAGAAAGGAGTATTGGAAGAAGTCCTTGGAGACGACGGTGCAACGGCTGTATTCAACACCGTTCCTGAACTCGTATTCGACGCCGAAGAGGATGGCTTGCGGCGCTGCAAGGCACAACGATATTATCCAAATTGTGATGATGAACTTGATGGCTCTGGAGAGATTGGACATGGTGTGCGAGAGGAACGGATGGCATATCGCAATGTATCGCTCGACGGTGAAGGCCGTGATCGTGAGAACGGTAGCATTGGCGGATGTCTCAGCGGCGAAACCCTGCAGAACGCACAGAGTTTCGCCGAAGACGTAAGTTGCTGGTGACCAGAGTCTGTACATCTCCGGCGGTAACCCGGAGATGAGTAGGAGAAGGTCGGAAATGGCGATGCTGAAGAGGTAGTAGTTGGTGACGGTGTGAAGACTCATGTTCCTCTTGATCACAACACAGGTGCTAACGTTCCCGATGAGCCCGGACACGAAGATCACCGCGTATATAGCCGTCACGGGGATGACCCATTCTATGGGGTAGAGGACCGCTTCATCGTCGCCGGTGAAATTCGAGACCAAGGAGACGTTGTCCATTGACATCGTGTTCAAAGAGGTGACGTTCTCCAGCACTTCCTCCGATACATTAACCACCCTCATCGCGCGACTGCTGGTTCCTACTCAGACACCATCACTGCACTATACACTTTTTTCTTCCTCTGCTTCCCGGTGATGACTGCTGCTGGTTCTGCTGATGCGATGGGTTTCCGAAAACTGGAGGAGCGCGCGCGCTATTTCCACGCACAGTCTCGTGATGAAATGAGACTGAAAGCGTGGATCCGGTTGCGATTCGCGTTTTGGACCCCACCACGGGACGACAACATTTCGATGGGATCCGTCGAAATCTTGTTGAAAACATATTAAATATAAATAAAAGACACTCAGGTGTTCAACTCTTCAGGAATTCCAACTTCGAACCTAATTAATTACCACACGTCTTTTCATTGGTATTTGTATAATCACAACAAATTTAAATTTATTCTCAAAATAATCAAAATATTATAAAACTATTTAAATGTAAAACATTTTATTTACATAAAGTTATACAAAACAAATAATTTCCAAAAAAAAAACAAGATTTTTGAATTTTTTACATATTAATTAGAAATTAGCTAATATAACGCGTTTTATTTAATTACTCAAATAATCACATACACTACGTAGATAAGTAAATATGTAAATTCAAGATAAAATTACGAATTTTCTAATAAGCCTACTTACACGTTTATAGTATTTACCAATATATTATAATAATAAACTGTCAAAGTTCAGCAACGAAATGCTGATGATATTCACATTTTTATTAATTAAAACATTTTTTGTTATATTTTTACAATTTTTTATTGCATTAATTAAATGCATTATAAGAAAATTTGCAAGTAATACTAGTTAATAACAAAAATTTAATATTTATTAAAAAAAATAAAATAAAAAACATTATGGTTTTTTAGGTCTTTACATTTTAATTAATGATGAAATAACTATATACACTAAATATGTAGATTAATAATAAAACTGTTGCCTTTCGAATGAGCTTACTGTCAGTTTTATGGCATTCACCATTATCATATAATAAATTGTCGAAGTTTTCCTACTGTAACTGTTTTCACGTTTTAACTAATCAGACCATATTTATTACATTTTCAATAATTTAGTTTATGAAAATATATCAATAATATTAATTAATAACAGTGATTTAATGAGTTTATCAATTTTAAAAGAAAAATGATAATTTTTAAAAAACACGAATATAATAAGATTTTTTTACATCAGTTCTCATCTTTTGATTACTGTTATGTAATATACAAACAAGAAACTGCTGAGATAAATGTTGGGTGGAGAAATGTTCCGTTGATGAAGTATTTTTTTTTTAATTAAGTCGTTTATTCGAAGGATTATGGTTTTTACATTGATATGGAATGTAAAGGTCAATTTTTTTTTTTAAATAATTAAATATCACCTTACTACACATTTTTTTTTTAATTATACTCACAAACAAAAATGTTCCATCAAATAATTTTATATAAATATAATAAGATTTACTACATACTGTATTTAATAGTCATTTTAATTATAATGTTTTCCATTTAACTACATATGATAAAATTTATTTGTTTTATTATAATTTATTTATTTGATTGATCTATATGTTAATTTTCTTATAAATACAAAGTGTAGAGAATAAATTTCATCTATTATTGTGTAATTTAATGCATATTTCATACATTTATTTTATTATAAAAAAAAATAATTATGTTCTTTAGGAAAAAAAAATAAACTATTGGGGACAACTTTAAAAAGCTATAAATTTCATTAATAATTTATTCTCTAAACTATCAAATTATTTAGACATGGGATCAAACCAATTCCAAATTTGCATATAATTAATTAATTTTACAAATTTTATCTTTTTAAAAACTTCGATTTTAACCAAAATTTAAGCATTTCCATTAAAAAAATCAACATAAAAACACCTTGATTATTGCATGCACTTAATAGTGTGACTTTAAATGAAGAAAATAATTTGTTTTATTAGACTGAGTCAATTGTAAAACTAAACATAGATACTTCATTGTAAGTACATTAAGTTACATTGTTTGACTGTGAAATGTATAAAGCAAAGGCTGGATTATTTCTAGGAACTGACGTATCCGTTATATTTTTCGGCTTTTTTTGGATGCGGTCGCCTCTACAAACTATTGTATAATGTAAACGTCGATGTTTATTGAAAAAAAAAATAAGCCAGAATGAATGCTATTTCTGCATTTCACTGCACGAACAAAGTTTAATAAACAACACATTACATGCATAATTCTCGAGTTCCGCCTTACAATTAAGTCCAAGCGCATCCATTTAGTTTTATTATTTAATTGCCATCAGCCTATGCAACCTAGTTCTCAAAATACACTTATCGATTTATTGATTTCTTTTCTTCCCCTCCCTAAAAAAAACAAACCAACTTAGTCTATTATCATTAAATAGATTCGCACTTTACTTGAACGTAGAACAATAAGTCTTATCACTAAATTACATAATTATAGAAGCCTGACCTTGCGATCCATATTCACTTGCATAGGAAACCTCTTAACAATACTACACTTTCGTACTAATAGCTAGAATACACGCGTCGACTTCCTTACTCTACACAATTATTATAGCTCACAATAAAACTGCGTACGCTCATTATCTTTAACGAAGTAGAGATAGCGAATTTTTCATAATTAGTAACGTTTCGTTACAAGCTTTAATGTTTCTTTTTCTATTTTCCATTTATTTATTTTTTTTTTATCAAATCTCACCACTTTTCCGTAATTTTCTAATTACCTCCACTCTCCAATTTCATTAAAACAACAAGTTTTTCACCTGCTTTTTTTCTCTCGTTTTGTTTTCTTCTCAATTACTGATGCAAATCACTCGGAAACAAAGTTTTTATAGCAATTACCTTCACCGTTTGCTACCTGATCCGTTCATAATTTGCTAATTATGGGAACTTTTACCTCTCCCGTCTGCTTGTTAATTGCAATCAATTAACAATTATCTAATAGATAGCAAAATTATGTTTGTTTCGTTTCAAATTTTATTTCTACTTTTTCTTAGTTGTCTGCTCATAAAAAAACATATTAAAAGATGTTAAAACATGCAAAGACTATTTGATAACTACTAATTAATGAAGAGATGCTTTTTTAATTGAATTTGTAAATGTCATCCATCCAAGCAATATCCATTACAAGTTATGCTTAACTTTCTAAATTACGCTCATTGAATATTAATCAAATAATGTAGATTACGCATTCAATTGTTATACATTAGATACGTTTCTTTGTAAATATCATCCGTCCAAGAAATATACATTAAAAATCTTGCTTAACTTTTTTAATTACGCTCATTCAATATCAATCAAATAATGTAGATCATCCATTCAATTATTATACATTAGATACGTTGTTTTATAAATATCATCGATCCAAAGAATATCCATTAAAAATCTTGCTTAACTTTCTTAATTATACTCATTCAATATCAATGAAATAATATAGATCATCCATTCAATTATTCTACATTAGATACGTTGCTTTGTAAATATCATCCATTCAAGCAATATCCATTACAAGTCTTGCTTAACTTTCTAAATTACACTCATTCAATATCAATCAAATAATATAGATCATCCATTGAATCAATATACATTAGATACGTTGCTTTGTAAATATCATCGATCCAAGCAATATCCTTTAAAAATCTTGCTTAACTTTCTAAATTATGCTCAATCAATATCAATCAAATAATATAGATCATCCATTCAATTATTATGCAATAGATACTTTGCTTTGTAAATATCATCCATCCAAGCAATATCCATAAAAATCTTGCTTAACTTTCTAAAGTACGCTCATTCAATATCAATCAATTAATGTAGATCACACATTAAATTATTTTACATTAGATAGATTGCTTTAAAGTTAAGCAAGATTTTTAATGGATATTGCTTGGATTGATGATATTTAC